GGCCCCGCGGGCGCCTGTGCATCCTCGCTCCGCAGCGTCCCGCCGCGGGAGGCGAGTCCCCGCTGCCGCCCTTCCCGCAGCGCCCGCGGCCGGCCCCGCTCCGCAAGTAAGGGATGAAACGGTTTCCTTTGTTCATTTAACACTTTTTTTTTTTTTTTTCCCGTCTTTCTCGGGTAATGGTTTCTCTTCAGTCGGGTGTCAGGGAAGAACCCTGCGGTCAGCCTGTCCGCCTGATAAAATGGGAGTTGGTTGCCTACCAAAGAGACTGAAATCTAATTTTCTGTTCATTTGTGGTTCCTGTGCTATTAATGAATCAGTGAAGGCAAGTCCTGGGAGTAAGAATTCTGCTATAAAGTTATCAATGTTTGAGGATAAACATAATATAAATTTTGTTTGTTGCTTTTTTTCTTAAGGCATGTATTTCAAGGAAAAGTAACTTATTTGAAAAGAATGTAAGCTTGTTGGTTTCCTTCACGTTGCACTAGTAGAGAGACTGATTGGTAATTAGTCTCTGCAAGGAGAATGTGAGAACAGACTCGGTCTAGCCGGCTCAGTCTGCATTGAGTCATGTTGTTTTGCTGTTTCTGAAAATTGCCACAGAGGTGCCCGAAACGCTGTGTTGAAATGGCAGCCTGAGGCTCCGACAGGACTTTTGTAAAGCCTCAGGCTGTCCCAAAGGCTTTGTCCTGGATTTGTTTCAATGCTGGAGCACATTCACAAGGCGTTTAGATCGCCGTGACTTCTGGTCGAGTCTGATTTATCTGGTAAGTTTAGGGATGCTGCTGTGTGATGCCTTCGTGTGGTACGCAGGGACTCTGCCACGTAGAAATAGGCTGACACGGCGGGGACTTGCCTCAGCAGGCAGCTTCCACAACCAGCTTTAAGAGTCGCTGTTCGCCCTTGGTACGAAGTCTAAGCTTTGCCCTCTCCTAGGATTTGATGCTGCTTGCAAAGACCATTAATGTAAGAGGACATAAAGATTAGCCCACATGGACTGCCAGGGCTCAGCAGCTTCCAGTCCTCGAGGACGGCACCCCATGCACTGGGCACTTTCCCTGGAAAGCTGCTCCGATGTACTTTGATCCGCAACGACAAGGAGGCCGCTTCGGCAGAGTCAAAAGCATCCCGTGGCCCTTCCCCGGCAGGGTGTGCGCAGACAGGGCGGGAGGTTTCGGGCGGCGGGCTGGCCCCACTGGCTCTGTCTTGCCCTGTTGTCACCGTTGCCTTTTGCCGTTACGGCAGGTGTGTGTGACGCAGCACGGGTACAGCTTTCCGAACTCCTTGCTTTGAAACCTCTTTATGGGCACCGACTGAGGGGGCCGGCGCGGGTGTTTCGCCCCGCGGTGAGCAGCAGTAGCGGTCAGTGGGCAGTGTGTGCTCTGCCAGCGCCACGGGGAAGGGGCTGATCTGTACCAGAGTTTCTTCAGGTATGTGACTGGGAGCGTGGCACTGACCTTCTGAAGGGCCTGCTGCTGCTGGAGCAGAGCTATACTTTGTGGATGGATCAAAACCATCTCAGATTTAGAGAGATCCCTACAGTCCCCTTTAGAGAAAGGAGGGAAAGAAGATTCTTCCAAGTTGAGACTTGCTTTCTCTCAACTTCTCAATTTAATGACTTTGGAATCCACAGCACTTGATTATCATTAGCTGCTGAGGATAGTCTAGCGTGTTTGGAAATGGGAAATAAAGGTTTGGCAGTGATGTGAATAGGTATCTAGTCCATTGCCACGTGCTGGGGTTGAATCTCCTACATTGGGTATGGGCTGTAGTAAGAGCTTTCGCAGCGTCTCTGGGAGAGCTGTTCTAGTGTGATGCTGTGATAGCTGAAAGCTTACAGAATATCCAGATAAACCAAATGTATTCATGTTGCTGTTACCAAAGAGAGGCGAGAATAAATAAACTCTTTATAAAAAAACTTTCAATGTTTGACATGATGTTATGTTGCCGTCCCCTTCTTCTTGAAGTTTAAGAAAACTGATTCCTTTAAGTGCTAGTTCATGTTTTTCTAATTCTCTTGTTTTCTGTTTCTCTCTGCTGAACTTGTTCTAAATGGCTGTTACATGTCTCAAGAGCTGGATGTCTCCTTTAGATGATGGTTTGATTATTGGTTACATCCGGCTTTGTTAGTTATATCACTGGATGAGCATTTTCATGTGGGTTTTTATTTAGTTTGTCATGCACTTGAACCCTAAGCTATTTTCTTGTCCTTTGGAATAACTCTGCTGCCTCATATTGCATCAGTTTCTCCTTCATACAGGTAGTTCTTTGAACTTGTATTCTGATGATTTCAGACAATTTCTGCAACTTGCCCTGGATCTCTCTTCAGAGTATTGCTGGTGCTTATTCACACCAAGCTTGGTGCTGATTGGAAGTTTTATGAGTAAGCTCCTTATTTTGTGATCTAAATCATGGGGAAAATATTTAATAGAATTAGATGAAGCAAAAAGCCTTGTGCAGCCCATTTGAGATGTACTCCCTGGATTAGGGAACTGTTCTTTAAGAGCAATCTTTAAATAAGTTAAAATGTAGAATTACTTCATAGTGACTAAATCACACTTCCTCAGGTGGCTTAGTAGAACAGAGAGATCTTGGCAACAATTTAATATACAAAGGTACTCGCTCAGGATTATTTCCCTGAGCTTTGTATGTAGTCCTGTAAGATGATTTGGGATATCAGAGGTAGTGAAAAACCAGTCACTTGAAATTCCAGTGTGTGTGGCACTTTCTGCTCAGGACCTATGGATTTACAGGTGTCTTTTTCCACTAACATAGCGCTTGCTTTGAATCTGTTCACCTCATCATCTGCTGCGTGAAAGCTTTATTGAATTAGCAGTATTTTCTCAATGCTATGGAACAAAGTGTTTGGAAGAGCACTATAGACAAAAAAAACCCTGAGAAAGTTAATAGAACTGTTACAAGAGCACGTTTGATATTGGAGACTGATTAACAAGGCATAACTGTCATCCACCTTGTGCATTAATTTTGTTGTGGGAGTTATTTCCTTCTTGTCTCAGAACCTGTGGATGTTTGAATAATGATTCCGATAGGACTTCTGCCTGATTTCTTCATACCCTCTCAGAATATCCAGTACCTTCAAACCATGTGGTCATGTTCTACTACTGTTTCATTACCTGTGTGTTTCTTTTCTCCCAAACAGGAGTAACCTCCAAAAGAGCCTTCACGTTGGGCTATGATGGGATTGTTTCGGTTGTTGCTGCTTTACATCCATGTGCTATCGCCCACGTTTGCGGGAGGTGTCACCCGAGTCTATTACCTGGGGATCCGCGAGGTGGACTGGAACTACGCTCCGACAGGGAAGAACGTATTCGCTAACCAAAGCGTTGCACGGAACATGTATGTTTAGTTCTATAGGAACTGCTGCTGGCTTAAAATAGTGATTTTATGAGTAATTTCATGAGAGTATTCTGGGGCATCTAAGCAAGCAAGAGACGCGATCTGATAGATGTCTGATCTTTATGAGCTTAATGTTTAACTTGTTTTATCGTAGGAACATAGAAACGGTATCAGTGGGAAACGAATGGTCAGTTTAATGGAGCACCCAGTGCCCAGTGCCTGTAAGCCAGAAGGAAGTACGAACACACTATAATGGGACAGATTGTGCAATACTCTGCCCCAGGGTTTCATTTTCCTTAGTTCCAGCTGGTGATCTGCCTGTGTATCCTGAGGCATGATGACTTTTTGCCTCGATGTAAATGACTTCAGAGCTGGCTTGTTTTTGTTTAAATGGAATTGCAAGCCTCAGTCTTAATGGAACTTCCTGTGTGACATTTTAGAGGTTGTTTGAAAAATGTGGGGTTTTTTTTCAAAAGTAAATCTGGAAACTGCAATAATTACTTTGAGTCACTACAAAAACTGGTTTTGGTTTTAGTTTTCAAAATAACAAACCTTTTTTCTTCAGTGGTTTTTTGTTGTTGTTTTTTGTGTGTTTTTTGCATAGCTTTCCACAGCTTTTTAAAGGCATTTGTGCTTTCCCCACCACCACCCATTTTCTTGGAAAATAACCTGTATTTCTTGACCTGGTCTCAGTCATTTACCCCTCTGTAATCAATAACACTTGAGTTTATACATATCTTTCAGAAACAGTACAGCAAAAATAGGAGGGGTTCACAGAAAAACATCAATGTCTGTCAGTTTGGGGTGGAAAAGTCTTTCTGAAGTTGCTGAATAGACTTAAATTAGTTCACAGAAAAGAAACCCCTCCAAAACTTAAGATTAGTAAAGATGTTATTGCAGTGATAATGAATGCAGTGGTTTTTTGTTTGGTTTCTCTCATAATACATGAAGAGAAGGAAATGAAATTCAAGGCCATTAAACTTAAAAGCAATTTAAAAACTGTTCTGTCACTGCAAACAGTTAGCTAATGAGACTTATTTGTACAATGATTGCAGCAACCAAATTGCTAGCTGTGAGAAAAGGATGTGATAGCAGTATGAATGACAGAGGTGGTAAAATGCTTGAAGAATTGTTTTCTCTTGTGAAGAAACTGACTATGTGGGAGGAAAAAAGAGGCAGATCTGCAAAATGAAGTATGAATTGGCTGTAAACTCTTTGCTAGTAGTGGTTATAGGGATGACCTGGCAAAGGGATGAGCTCTGGATTGTATAGCTAGAGCCCAGCCCTGCCCGATTTTGAATGATGAAGGTGATGCTTAATGTTTTGGTCTCAACCATTCATCTTCTGGGGTCACAGGTTGGAGTTTGCCTGTTTCAGGGCTGCTGGTGTCACTGCAGGGTGATTGATACGGAGGGAGACGGGGAGGAGTAACCTCAGCTCCCATTTAGGCCGGTCCCACTAATACCTGGGCCATGATTCATCTCTTATCTACTAAGAAGTAGCCATAAAAAGCAAATATACTCATGAGGTGAACTTTAGTACCTGTGTGAGGTTTTAACTCTGGAAGCTGGTTACGTGCTGAGTACGTACTTGCCTGACTTCAGATCAGAATCTGTTAAGTAGAAAATCATCTTTTAGGCTGTGAATTTTGACCAGAGAGCTCAGGAGATTTTTCTTTTCCATCCCTTTGTGATTGAGCTGCAAATGCCACGAAGGCATTGAAGTGAGTTTCTAAAAGCCCAGTGGAGGCTGGAGCAGGCATGAGAAGGGCTTTGTTTGGTCTTCCCTGTGTCACCCAGGTGGTTGTCGGAGAAGCACCACCCTTCCCCTTCCCCGTTTCACTGCACGTGTCGGGGCTGTGCCTCGTGTCCGTTTGTGAGGAACTGGGAATGTGGCCGTGCGTGGCGGCAGATGTGACCACGCTTGTGTCTGTCCCAGGCTCACTGAGCTGTTAATGGGGTGATGTGCCCCGATGTTTCATGTGCTCGGGGAGCGGACCGGTCCCACGGCCCGTGCTGCCTGTGTCTCAAGCAGGCTGTTCTCTGTGTCACTGCAGACGGGTGCGGGAGGAGGAGGTTCATGGATGGCTCAAAGCGTGCTATGGTGGAGCACAGGTGGTCCTCTGTAATGCCAAAGCTTAAGCTTTCGGGCTGGCCCGGGGAAGCTGCGTGTCACCGTCGCGCTACTGTGTTATCGACCAGCTGGTTTATGTAACGCCTGACTCATGGTGCCTTTCCCCTTTCTCAATTTCACAGCAAAGCCTCAACGTTCCTCCAGCCTGGCAAAGACAGGGTGGGAAGCACGTACAAGAAATCTGTCTATAAGCAATACACAGACTCCACGTACACCACTGAGATTCCCAAACCTGGCTGGTTGGGCTTCCTTGGGCCCATCATGCGAGCAGAAGTGGGAGATACCATTAAAGTACACCTAAAAAATTTTGCTAGTCGGCCATACACAATCCATCCTCATGGTGTTTTCTACGAAAAGGACTCTGAAGGTAAATGAGCCACAGCCATAAAGGAGATAGATTTTTCTTGCTGGAAACTTAGGAGTATGCACTGAGGAGAGATGCGGTTAGCCCAAGGCTGTATTGCTGGGAAGCAGCTGCACTTAGGTGTTTAGTGAAGTCACCTGATGTTGGGTTAGCGGGTTCATGGGTCTGAGAGTCGTTTCCTGACCTGGGCATTACAGTACACAGCCCAGATTTCTTGATTTTAGCAGAACTTCCAAAGGTTGCTAGTAGGAGATTGGTGCAGAAGGAAAAGAGTTATATTTGCTATTTCATAGAATCATAGAATGGTTTGGGCTGGAAGGGACCTTAAAGATCATCCAGTTCCAATCCCCCTGCCATGGGTAGGGACATCTTCCACTACACCAGGTTGCTCAAAGCCTCATCCAGCCTGGCCTTGAACACTTCCAGGGATGGGGCTGTAGTATGAGAGTCATGAGTGTGAGATTCAGGATGTTCATAAGAATGGTGAAGTGTGAGACCAAAGAACTGCTATTTGAAGAACCCTAGAGATTGTAGACTGTGGCACTTGTTGTGCAGAGTTGGAGGCAAAGTAGCAATAGGTAGAGTGGAAATCATCTTTGTGACTCTGTGCTGACCAGTTTACTGAGCAAGCTGCCTTACAATGGCCCTGTGCCTCAGTTTCTCTTTGAGAGAATGATGATTAAACACTATGTCAGGCTTGGGATGGTGAGTCTTGTTTTGAAACCTGCTACCCAACTATATACGTGCTACTCTGAGTGAGAGCGGCTCAGTGTAAGTTTACATGTGTGGACATTTCTGCTCTTCTTGAATGGATACTGTGATTGCTCAATTGTTCTAGGATCCCTGTATCCCGATATGTCCCCCCAGGATCAGAAGAAGGACGACGCTGTTTTCCCAGGAGGGAATTACACCTATACTTGGACTGTCCCTGAAGATCACAGCCCCACTGCTGATGACCCAAACTGCTTGACTTGGATCTACCACTCTCATATTGATGCACCAAGGGACATTGCATCTGGATTAATTGGGCCATTACTTACATGCAAAAAAGGTAAAAACTCCCAAGAGAAAGCAGCTGAGGGCTGCAGTTTCATACTGTGAAAATTTTGTGGTGACTTGAACAAGGATAGGATGAGAAGATACTCCTGTGGGCAGCTCCCAGCTTCATGGGAAAGTGCAGCATGACTGTACAGACAGTACCCATGTTCTAGCTGGGTGCTGGCCAGTACGTTGTCTTTATCCCTTAGTGGCCGTGCAGGTGAGCTTGTGGGCCTCTTGATCCGAGAGCGCTGATTGAATCCATGCTAAAAGCAGGAATCTTGTCCAAGACCTTTTTTAAATACACAAACTAGGGGCCTAGTAAGAACACTGAAGGTGGTGTGGTTTAGCCATGTAGTGGCAGAGCTGCTTGGGAAACATATTGGCAGAGCTATGTTAGAAAGGAGTGAGCTTGCTGGAGCTCTGCAGGGAGCTGTGCCAGGATGGTGGGGAAAGCATGTCTCTGATTTGTGTGATAAGAGTTGCTCTACTATTGGTGTTTAATCCTGTGACCAGTGCCTGCCTTTCTGCAGGGTGAATGTTCATTTATCTTTTCTTTCACCCCAGGAATACTGACTGGCAGTTCTCAAAGACGTCGGGATGTGGACATTGATTTCTTTCTTATGTTCAGTGTGGTGGATGAGAACCTAAGCTGGTACCTGGATGAGAACATAGCGTCATTCTGCACAGATCCAGGCTCCGTAGACAAAGATGATGAGGAGTTCCAAGAGAGCAACAAAATGCATGGTCAGTGTCACCTGTGAAACCACTGACTCTGCCCGGACACACCAGGGTGCCGGTGCTCTGGTATCTTGAAATGCGCTTTCTGCTGTAGTGTGCCAGGGAGACAGCGAGCTCTGAGGTCATGTGCTAAGCGAACAATAGGACAGTAACAGTGCAACAGCTCCAGAAAAAAGAAGTGTTATTTTGATTTAATCTTTGACTGGAGTGAGCCTTTGTTGGTTGTTCAGAGGTTTTGAATACGCTTTGTTTTAGGAGTGAGATGTGGAGCTGGGCCCTCCAGAAGGAAAAGAGGAAGATGAGTTCTGGTTAGGTCCATCCTCCAAACATGCCTGTACTGTGATCTGGCAGAAGCTCTGAAGGCCACTTTTCTAATCTCTCATTTGACTTGCTTGATTTTGCAGCTATTAATGGTTACGTGTTTGGGAACCTCCCTGAGGTGACGATGTGTGCTGGGGATTACGTTTCATGGCACCTCTTCGGGATGGGCAATGAAATTGATGTTCACACAGCCTACTTCCATGGAGAGACACTCAATATTCGAGGCCATAGGACAGATGTGGCCAGCCTGTTCCCAGCCACTTTTGTTACAGCAGACATGATCCCCAGTAACCCTGGGAGATGGCTACTGAGCTGTCAGGTCAATGATCACATACAAGGTAAGGCAGAGGTCCTGCACTCTGCAGCCTCCCTTTTTTCCCCCCAGTGCGGTCCCATGATGTACAGTGTGGTAGGGGACGGTGCCTTGGGCAGCATTCCCACTAAAACCGTCCCTAGATGAATGGGGCGATTCCTTGTCTTGTATAAATTGTGGTGGGTTGATTACTAATGTGCAGGGCAGACCTGCTGGGGATGGCTTGTACCAATATGTGATGTTCCACATTGATCAGTGGTGAAGATGGTGAATTTGGTAGAGCTGAGAGCTAAGATGAGGCAGTGCCTTAAGAGCTCTAGTCCCCATCAGAGGCAGTGTCCTGGTGCATTTGAGGAAGCAGAAAGCTCTATTTTATCTCTATATACTTCTGTAGTGTCCAATATCTAAGGTAAGAAGCTCTGCTCACTAACACAAAAAACTCCTTGCTGTGAGAACCACCTGATCACCTCCCAGCCACGTACCTTTTGGGACATAGAGGAGGAATGGCCATTGTGTGATGGGAAGGTGGGACTGTGTTCATTGACCGATCAAACTGGCTGAGATGTGTTTCCTCCACCATGTCTTGGACAGCTGGGATGGGAGCACTCTATGAAGTCCGGCCTTGTTCTCGGCAAGCTCCAGCATCCACCCTGGAAGGGAAAGTTCGGAAATACTACATAGCTGCAAAGGAACTGCAGTGGGACTATGGACCTTCAGGGCTTGACCAGAGCAGTGGGAAACGGCTGAGCGAGGCAGGCAGGTAAGCAAGAGGCTGTTGGGCCAGGGCAGTGTTTGGGGTCTCTGATGTGTGTTGGGGAGGCTGCTAAGGAAAGCGTGGAATGTATTTCTTATCAAAATACACACCTGAAATTCATGTGGAGTGCATTTCCTGGGAAGACAGATCACCCCATCTGCAAGTGTAGGCTGCTGTAGCTCGACTGTGCCGAGAGCAGCACGAGGTACCTCGCAGGACTTCACGTGGAGGTGTGCTGTGTTTCATAGCCTGACCCACAGACACCAGGAGCCCCAGCTTAGTCTCTGGGCTTCGTTTCTGCTTGCTGTGCCTTACCTCGGAACAGACCCTGTGTTTGATGATATCAAGGAAGTGCATCTGCAGCAGACACAGGGTGGCAGAGCTGTCCTGCAGATACGCTTCAGCGTGGCCTGGCTGCAGCAGGCATTTCTAGGAAATCAAATGCAGTGCCCTCGATGACAGCCTTCCATCCCATGTGTCGGCAGGCTGTGATAGCAGCTGGTGAGTGGCTTCCTGTTTAGACTTTGGCTCACTGAAACAGAGATATTCCTCCCCCTTCATTCCCTTCCCCGGGAAGCTGTGGGAGAGGATATACCTCCTTCCGATGGAGAAGTAGAAATGCAGCGTGGTTAATGATTTACCCAAAGCCACGCAGCAGCTCTTTTACAGACCTTAGAACTGGAAGCTCCTTAGACGTGTGCGCTGGCCTAAGCTGCCTCTCCTGCGTGTCATGTTACGTCTGTTTGTGTGTTTGGAGAGGGTGTGGTGGCGGAGGAAATGAATCTCTCTTTACAGCTGTTGTGTGGGTTTTCTTCAGTTACAATTGCAGTTGTCTCCTGGCCCCTGAAGAACTTGGTGGGTTTGGCCTCTGCAGTTACTGTACTGCAGTTTTGTTCACCACCCTCTTTTGCACATCTTGTTTGGAGATGCTGCTCAGACCTGTGCCCTTGAGCCCAGGTGTTTTGGCTGGGACTGGGCTGTGTGCCAGACGTGCTCCCTGACACAGCGGGTAGGGGAGTCTGCAGGGCGAGAAAGCCTCACAGAGGCATGCTGTGCTCGTTCCAAACCAGAGATGCTGCCCTTGTCTGGAAAGCTGCTTGGTTTGGAGATGCTGCTGGCATTGCCGGAAGGGTGCGGGGAGGGGGCAGAAGAACAGAACTGGTTGTCGGAGAAAGGACCTGACATTTGCTTTTTGTATTTAGCCCTGCAGAGCAGTTTTTCAAGCGTAGCCCCTCCCGAATTGGGGGAGTCTATTGGAAGGCAAAGTATGTGGAATATA